CTTCAACTCCCCATGGCTGGCTGGGGAATTCTGGGGGTTGAAGTCCACACGTCTCCGAGTGGCCAAGGTTGAGAAACACTGGCTTAGGCTATGTTCTCAGAGGATCTGAGAGGAGAGACGGCCGCTCAGAACTGCACTTTGCAAGCAGGAGGCCAGAGCTCCGATCCCTGACATCTTCAGCCAGAAGAGAGGCTGCTTGCCCAAGGGGGCAGTAATGGGCCAGGCAGATCCAAAGCCAAGCCTGGCAAAAAGGAGGTTTTGCTGCTCCCTCTGAACCCCCAAAAGATCCATCGGTCTTAGCCACCCCTCCCTTCCTAGCCCGGAGGTCCTTGCAAGTCCCAGATGCTACGCCGTGACTGTGCAGCTCCTAGTCCTCTCCCAGGACTGGGGGTTCGTATATCAGTGAGGGGGGGGGCGTTTCGAGGCCACACCTTGCTCTCCAAGCGGTCGCTGCTCAGCCTCAGTTCATTTCGCTCCTTCTCCACCTTCTCCAGGCGGCCTTTCAGCTGCTGGATCTCCTCCTGCAAGGCGAAGCGAAAGACTGCTAAGGAGCCACTCTGGCGCTCCAACTCTTCTGCCCTGGGTTTGGAACTACGGCTTAACTGGAAGATCGCCTCCCTTGCCTGGACACTCGCTTAGAAGCGTCTGGGCATAGAGAGGAAATGGAGCTATATAGGCTATATATATATGAGCTGGAAGGGGGGCTCCCAAGAAAAATCAGCCGGTCCAGAGCTCTAGCACAGCCCCATCCCTACGCTAAACTTCTAGGCTCCCAGAACTGCTGCTCTCCAGAGCGTCTGAGCATGGCCTCCCCAAATCCCCTTGCACCACCCTGCAAAAGCTTCACAGGAAGTCCTTGCTTAACAACCACAACAAGGACCGGAAAATTTGTTGTTAAGCAGAGTGCTTGTTAAGCAAGTCATGCCCGATTTTATGACCTTTTTTGCAGTGGTCATTAAGTGAATCACTGCAGCCGTTAAGCGAATCGTGCGGTTCCCCATTGACTTTGCTGGCGATCACGTGACCCTGGCATGCTGCAACCGTCATAAGTGCGAGGTGTTGCTAAGCGCCCGGATTGTGATCACGTGACCATGGGGGTGCTGCAACAATTGTAAGTGCAAGGACCAGTTGTAAGTCCCTTTGTTCAGCACCGTTGTAACTTCAAACGGTCATTTAACAAATGGTTGTTAAGTGAGGACTATCTGTAAACAAGAGGTGAGACCAGAGCTGACTTGAAAGGATCCAAAGGCAGTTCTACTCCTGAAATGTGGGGCGTAGGGAGCATAGTTCAGATGGAAGAAGTCGGGGCTCAGCCCCAACCCCAAAATATCCAACAGAAATTATGCTGACACTTTTTCCTAGCCAAGACAATGGAGGGCTGCTGGCAATTAGTTAAAACTGGCAATCCCAGGGGAGGGAAAACAGCGTGACCCAGTCTGGTAGAAGACATCTCCCTAAGCTTCTGAAAAAACAGGTCTGGGCTGGTTAATTGCCTGGGCTGGGGAGGACCCTGCCAGGAGCTGTGGGGAAGTCACCATGGAGATGTTGAAGGAAGGTTGTAAAGCCTAGCAAGAAAGAGGAGATAATGTGAGAGCTGGCAGGCAGACTGCCAGAAGCTTTAAGGTGTTTTGAGAGGAGGTGGCATCCATTCCCACGTTCAGAGTCCTCACTCTCAGGCAGCCTTGTCCACAAAACAAGTCTTCCTTCAAGGCAAGGCAGCTGGTCAGATGGAACTGCTTGAAGCAGCACCCCATCTTAGGAGGGGAGAGGAACTACTCTACAGAAGGTCAGGCTTTGGGGAAAGCCTCCCAGGGGGCGGGTGTAAAGACCTTCTTTCTGCCCAGGACTTCCTTGGAGGTCAGGGAAAAGCAGGTTGGGCTACAGCAGTGTTTTTCAACCTTGGCAACTTAAGATGTGTGGACTTCGACTCCCAGAATTCTGGGAGTCGAAGTCCACACATCTTCAAGTTGCCAAGGCTGAAAAACACTGGGCTAGAGTGATCAATGGTCAAGCATGCAGCCTCCCCAGTTGTTTTTAAAGACAAGCAGACACAGCTCAGAAAAGTCTCAGGGTCCCCTCCTTCTCCAGCCAGGAGACACACGCACATCTTTTGCCCGGATCTGGTCCTCTGTGAGCTGGACTTCGATGAGAGGCCGAACCGTGGTGAAGAGTTTCCACCAGGGCCAGCCCTTCACCCCCTTGTTCTTCTTGATGTTCTTTTGCACACAGCGGATAGCAAGGTCCTGAATCTGCAATGGGGGATGACAAGAGGGGGAGGAAAAGAGGATCAGGTCAAGAGGACCCCCTTCCCTGGCACCAGCACAGGTGGGAGCAGCAGCCAACCCATGGAGCCCTTTCCCGAGGTCCTTCCTAAGGGTTTAGAAAGGGCCAAAACTAGAACTCCGATGCAGAGAAGACCATGCTGGTTCCCTCTTGCTCCGGTTATCATTTCCTCTTCTCTCCTACCGTTTACTGTTTGAAAAGCACTTTCTCGCAAAGACAGTCTAATCTTGCCGAAAACCCAGGGCCCCACCTGAACATCTGGGCTTCTGCATTCAGTGATAATGCAGGAACTGATACAGCTCTTTACTCTAAACCAGTGTTTCTCAACCTTGGCAACTTTAAGATGTGTGGATTTCAACTCTCAGAATGCCCCAGCCAGCCATGGCTGGCTGGGGAATTCTGGGAGTTGAAGTCCACACATCTTAAAGTTGCCAAGGTTGAGAAACACTGCTCTGAACAAACCACCCTGCCACAAGACCACCTTGGCCATGCAGCAACTTGAGAGAGACTGGCAACAGAAAGCAAAGCCCTCCCGTCCCAGGCACTGGAGGTCGGGGCAGACTGATCAAAGACTGAGGAGGATGCAGAGGGGTGGCCCAACAAATCCGGGCTACTCTCTTTCTCCAGCCCCACACGGAAGGCCCAAGATGGGCCACGCAAGGGAGGGCAAGCAGAAAGGAATGGAATGGCCTTCCCCAGACGCCCCCTCTGAGCACACTGTTTTTAGGGGCACTTGGACAGAAACATCCTCATCACACCCACCACTCACAAGAGTCACCACTTCTTTCTAAAGCCCCAGTGGGAGCCCAAGGCCAGATGAGGGCAAGCCGTGGGACAGGCCGTCGCAACCCACCCAAAGGAGCAAGAGGGTGTGAACATCCTCAGAGATTTGGGGGGGGAGGGAGAAAGCGAAAGGGGTGGGGGGTCAAGCATACAGGTTTCAAGAAGGGTTTGGGAAAACAGAAAAAGAGGGAGATGAAACGGAATGCTGCCTCATGATCCCCCCAGGCTTGCACCCCAACAGCCCAGCAATCTTGTGCCAGAAGTGGAAAAGAGAGAGAAAGAGACCCCCTTCACTGCTCTGGAGGCTTCCTTCCCACCCACTCCCACCCCCAGTGCCACGGTAACCCACGTACCTTCCCTTCCTTTCTCTAAGGCGGCAACGGGGCTCTCCGCACAGCCCCTCGACCTTGCCCAAGCGTTGGGAAGAGGCACCGGCGTGCACACAATCCCCCTCCTACCTGCTGCAAGGCTGGAGAGCCATCTCCCAAGGCCGGGGGGGGGTGGGGGGGAAGCCGCTGCCGCCGACCTCCTTACAGAGCCCACAGTTCTAGATCACTGCCCAGGGCTCGTGGGATGCAGAGCTGCCCATTTTAGGATAAGGAGAGAGGCATAAACACAGCGACAGAGAGGGGGAGAGAGCGTGTGTGTGTGCAGAGAAGGGGGCGTGACTCAATCCACTTCTGCCTGACTTTTAAGGAATACATGTGTGCGCCCCCCCCCACAGGCACACCCACACACCCACAGAGCATACCTTCCTCTTCTTGAACTGCTGGCGTGCCAGGAACCCACGGCAGGCCGCCTGGAACAGTGTGATGCTCCGGCTCATCTGCTTATCACGCTGCTCCTCCAGTTTTGCCAGCGTCCCTGCCCGAAAAAACACCTGGGGGGCGGGCAGAGGGAGCAATACGGAAAGAAGGGGTCAGTTTCAGTGCCAGGGCAGGCTCCTGGACGGAGGGGTCGAAGGCCTGACCTCCGGCCACCCTTTGGGAGGGCTGATGCTGGGACGCTCCAGCGGCCCCGCTTAGGCCCCCCAAGTGCCTCCATCTTGGTTGCGGAAGGGAGCTGCCGGGGCTGACTCCCCTGCAGCCGCACGGGTGGCCAAGGAGGAAGACCTGACTGCCCTAGCCCCGAGTGCTGCGGTGGCTTTCAGGGAGCAGGTGTGAGGTGGGGCTTGTGGCACGCAGAGGACCCTTCGCCTTCCCAACTGCCTGTGCCCGGGTGAAGGAGCGGCCCGGAGGCAAGAGAGCCCACTCTCACAGACAGAGGCTGCTCTGGCCAGCGAGGAGCCCGAGAGCTCCCGGTTCTGGAGGACCCACATCCGGGAAGCCTCCCATAACTTTCAGGCTTTGGCTGAGCAGAACATTCCCGATGAAGCGACTCAGAACAAGCCTTGAACGAGGCAGGCGGGTGAATCAACCATCCGCCCCCTCCCTGGGGGATGGGCATCTTCTTGGTGTGCCACTGGGCTGACTTCACCCGGGAGCACCAAAGCTGCCTGCGCATATGAGTGGGTACACTGACATGCAGGAGGAACGCAAGAAGCATCGTGTCTCTGCCAAAAGCCTGTCTTCTGTCCACAGATGCCCAGAGCGTGGAGAATCATTGTGAACCACCTTCCGCAGCCTGAACCAGGCTCGAGTGAGCTGGTGGGGGTGACTCTCGGCTCACATACCCACTCCAGGCTTACTCCGAAAGGCAGGTCCCATCAGAAGCAGGGAGGAATGCACCCCACCCAAAAACACCCACCCCGCTTCAAAATATAGCTGCCTGCAGAATTCAGAATTCCTGCACCCCTTCTGGCAAAGACATTGGGAGCAGAGAAGCGCGGCTAATGCACCGGAAACAAGGGTAATTTTCTCACAGAGCACTTCACCTCTCCATATCCCTAGCAAGACTGGGATAAATGAACGCAGACAATCATACAAATAAATAAAGAAATGGGCCAGCAATATAGCAGAATCAGTTTCTAACGGGGCTTCCACACACAGAGGCAGCCTATCACTGAAAACCAGGGTCAGGAACAAGCAGCAAATCACGGCAGGTGCCGTGGTGCAATGGCTGGGCTTGCAATCATGACGGGGTTTCTCTGGCTCTGGCATGGGAACTGGGCATCCCACCTCATTCAGCAAACCAGGGCTACAGCGCACCATGGTTTAGTACAACCTGTGAGCCCAGCCTGAGCTCCCCAACTGAAAATTGCCCCCCCCAGTGAAAAACCACCCCCCTCTTGTTGGACATAAGAATAGTTTATGTGGATCCTATCACCCCTCTTTTGAAGGCCAGAGCGCCTAGAAAGCTTGAACATGGCTGCAGCCTTTCTGGGTCTGGAGCAAAGCCGTTCCTTCCTGTCCTGGGCAGGGACACCCCCATTGCCCCCCAACAAGATGCCACCACCCAGGAGGGTCTTCTTGGTCCTGTCCATCTCACCCGGCTCAAGCCCATCTGATGGCAGCTCTTCTCCAACTCCAGCGACTGCAAGAGCTCTTCCACCGCCTGGAGGAGGGGAGAGGAGGGGGATCAGAGAGAGGCTTCCCCCACCCCGATAACGGACGGGAAATGGACACCAGGGTCACCCGTCCACCCCGCTCCATCGTGGCCCAGCTGCCCCAGGGAAGCCCAGGCCCCCAGGCCCTCCCTCCTCCCCCGTCGCCTGGCACTGGCAGAGACACCCCATCCAGCCTGCATACCCGCTTCTCATCTGTGACGATATAATGGCGCCCGTGCTTCTTGGTCAGGTGAGGGGCCAGGACGTCAAAGCGCCGCCGGAACTCGGCAAAGGCCATGTGGTCAGGGTAGCCTGGGAAGGGCAGGAGAAGAAAGGGGGCGTTAGAAGGGAGGGGGCCAGGGCACAAGAGGGAAGGAGCAGCAGGGGGCCGCTGGGATGGAGGTAGGCAGGGTCCCGGCCTGGACACAAAACGCAGGAGCCCTCCCAGGCTTCCCAGCCCACCCAATACAACTCTGCGCTCAGCCCCTGGCCCCTGGGCTGTCCTGGCTACAACCCGCCTGCCCCCATTCCAGCTAAGGAGAGTGCGTCTCCTGCCCAGCGGGCAATTCCGAGGCTGAAGGGCTCCCCCTGTTCAGAGCATCTTCCTCCTGCTCAGCCAAGGTCCGCTCCCCTGCCAATCCCACCCCTTGGCCCCAGCCCTGTCCTGCAGCCAAGGGCGAACCAGCCTTCCCCAGCAGCCAGCCTGAAACGGCTCCGTGCAAGGCCTCGATTTCTTGCAAGCCCCTTGGCAGACGTGGCCTCCCCCAAGTCCAGTGCTGAGTGGGATTCAGAGAAAGGCCCAGGAGTCTGAGAGCAATGCCTGGGCGACTTTCCTTTCTGTATTTCACCTGGGTGCTGAAGTATCCCGTCCAGATGTGCAGGAGGACAGCAACTCCCAAACCCCTGGACTGTGGGTCAAGGGAGCTGCTCCTAAAAGCACCAGGGCAGGGGGGCAGGGGAGACCCGGCTGTTCCAGAAATCAGAGACACCCCATCCTTCCCCATCCCCATATAGAGGTTGGAACTCTGCGTCAGTGAACTGGCAAAACCCACTTGTGGGCTAGTGACTTTGGTGAGTCTGTTACAAGGCTGCGCTAAGGAGAAATCAAAGACCTGTTGTGGGTTTCAGTTAAGGTTTAGTGGGAAAATGGCAGGGCAAAGTCGGGGGCGGAGGGCTTGTTTTCCTGTTCATCCTCCTCCTTGCCAATGAACATAGCTCTGATAAAGGAGGAAGAGAGAGTTTGGGTCTACTGTCTCCTCTGCCCGCAGTGGCCGGCAGCCAAAGGAAATTGCTTCTATACACAGAATTCCCTTAGATTATCATACAACCACAGAGTTGGAAGAAACCTAAGAGGTCATCCAGTCCAACCCCATACATACTGCAGGATTCAGTACACCATCCCTGACGCATGACGATCCAGCCTCCGTTTGAAAACTTCCATGTGGTAACCTATTCTGCTGATTGACTGAGCTTCCTGTCTGGAAGTTCTTCCTAATGTCTCCTCTGTATGGACATCCTTGAGGTCTCATCTCATGAGTTCTAGTCTTATTCTCAAGCCCAAACCCTCTACAATGTGACAGCCCTTCATGTATTTGAAGACAGCCATCAGGTCCCTGCTCGACCTTCTCTTCTGCTTGGTAATTAGATGAATTACCAGGCCCACAGCACAACTGAAGATGCTGTAAACCAGTGTTTCTCAACCTTGGCCACTGGAAGATGTGTGCACTTCAACTC